CACACACACACAGACCGTGACCCACACCCCACAGGGCCCTGAATGTGGGGGTGAGTCCCAGAGGAGAACGATCACATTGCAGGTTGTGACTATTTTTTAAGTCGACACTGTGCAGGCCTCCAGAGGGGGAGCTGAACGGGTGACAGGTGTGAGACCAGGAGGAAGAAGGACAGCAATCCTGGCATTGAGGAGGACGGGCCAGGAGAGGAGAAGAGGTGAGAGACCAGGGAGCAAACCCTCGGAGAAGCGGGAAGGCCTGAAAGAAAGCACCAGTCTCTAGGACGGAAGGGCTCTGGACAAGGATAGGCCTCTGTGAGGAGAGAGTGAACTATACCTGAGAAGGTCTTGGGTTGTGGGTGGGGAGTTTGGGGAGCAGTGGGCAGGGGGTGGATGACTGCGTGAGGGTCATGAGCCCTTGAGGGAACAGAATAGATCTCAAGGGACAAAGAAAGGAGAACAGACCTGAGAAACTGCCCAGTGTTTGCAGGCAGTGTTGACTACGCCCAGGTCTGCTGGTGTAGAATTTCCTACATTCCCACAGCAGCCCCCACACTACCCCCCACCCCCTCAGTGCCCCCACAGTTGAGGCGCAGTCCACGCCACGGCTCTGCCACATTCAAACGCACCACCCCTAAGCGTTCCAGCCTCTCTGAAGGAACACCCCAGCTCATCCTCTGCGGGACTCCTTGGGCCCTTAGCACACTCTCCAAATGTGTTATTTTTGTTTCCTCTGTGAGTTTGGGCTCCCACGAGATTGTGAGTGCTTAAATCATGACTTCTTCATCTGGATACCCCTTCAACAGCTCCCTGACACCAAAGACAGTTATTTAGATATTAACAATAGTAGTTTGTCAACTTTACCAAGATGGGAGTAAGTGGTCATCCCCGGCCACAGCCAAAGGCGTGAGTGAATCAATGAACATGAAAATCGTATTCACCTTGCGCCCTCTTGTGGAAAAGAAGGCAAGAAACACTGTATTACTGCTGTGGACCATTCATCTCCTCTAACTATAGTGATAATACAATATTGAGTTTAAATATATTGAAATACAAACATGGGCTTCCCAGGAGGCGCTAGTGGCAAAGAACCCGCCTGCCAATGCAGGAGAAACAAGAAACGCGGGTTCCATCTCTGAGTCAGAAAGATCCCCTTGGAGGACGGCACAGAAACCCACTCCAGTATTCTTGCCTGGAGAATCCCATGGACAGCGGAGCCCGGTGGACTCCCGTCCGTAGTGTTGCAAAGAGTCGGACACGACTTAGGCGACTTAGCACACACACACAGAAATACAAATAAATCTTTCAATATTTAATTTTAATTTAATATTATCATACATTTAAGAGTGAAAGTGAAGTCACTCAGTCGAGTCCGACTCTTTTGTGACCCCACGGACTGTAGCCTACCAGGCTCCTCTGTCCATGGGATTTTCCAGGCAAGAATACTGGAGTGGGTTGCCATTTCCTTCTGCAGGGGATCTTCCCAACCCAGGGATCGAACCTGGATCTCCCACATCGTAGGCAGATGCTTTTACCGTCTGAGCCACCAGGGAAGTCCATTATGGTTTCTTTAAAAACTAAAAACAGAACTACTATATGGAATCTAGAAAGATGGTACTGATGAACTTATTTGCAGGCAGCAATGGATGGAGATGCAGACAGAGAAGAGACTTGTGCACGTAGTGAGGGGAAGGAGAGGGTGGGGTGGAAGGAGAGAGTAGCCTGGAAGCATTTACATTACCGTGTGTTAAATAGATCGCCAGTGGGGATTTGCTCTTTGACTCAGGGAACTCAAACTGGGGCTCTGTGACAACCTAGAGGGGTGGGATTGGGTGGGAGGTGGGAGGGAGGTTAAAGAGGGAGGGGAGGTAAGTAAACCTATGGCTGATTTATGTTGATGTATGGCAGAACCCGGAGAAGGCAATGTCACCCCACTCCAGTACTCTTGCCTGGAAAATCCCATGGATGGAGGAGCCTGGTAGGCTGCAGTCCATGGGGTCGCTAAGAGTCGGACATGACTGAGCGACTTCACTTTCACTTTTCACTTTCATGCATTGGAGAAGGAAATGGCAACCCACTCCAGTGTTCTTGCCTGGAGAATCCCAGGGACGGGGGAGCCTGGTGGGTCGCCGTCTATGGGGTCGCACAGAGTCAGACACGACTGAAGCGACTTGGCAGCAGCAGCAGCAGCATGGCAGAAACCAGTACAATATTGTAAAGCAACTGACCTTCAATTAAAAATAAAGTTAAAAAATAGAGCTACTGTATGAGCAAGCAATTCCACTCTTGGGTATATATCTGGAAAAAAAAACCCACTAATTCAAAAGGATACGTGTACCCCAACATTCATAGCAGCATTATTTATAATCGCCAAGACATGGAAACAAACTAAGTGTCCATCCACAGTGCCATTTGCAACAACATGGATGGACTTGGAGAGCATTATGAAGTGCAGTAGGTCAGACAGGGAAAGACAAATACTATATGATATCACTTACATGTGAAATCTAAAAAGTTCCACAAACTAGTGGACACAAGAAAGATACAGACTCACAGACAGAGAGAACAAAGAAGTGGCTACCAGTTGGGAGAGGGAAGGTGAGAGGGGCTAATTAGGGGTTACAGAGTAAGGTACAAACTGTTATGTATAAAATAAGCTGCAAAGATACATTGTACAACATGGGGAACATAGCTAGTATTTTATAACTATGTGTAGAATCTAATCTTCAAAAATTATCAATCAGTATATTGTATTCTTGTAACATATGTTACTTTGTACATACATACAACAAAGGTCCACCTAGTCAAAGCTATGGTTTTTACAGTAGTCACATATGGATGTGAGAGTTGGACTATAAAGAAAGCTGAGCGCTGAAAAATTGATGCTTTTGAAATGTGGTGTTGGAGAAGACTCTTAAGAGTCCCTTGGACTGCAAGGAGATCCAACCACTGTGGTGCTGGAGAAGACTCTTAAGAGTCCCTTGGACTGCAAGGAGATCCGACCAGTCAATCCTAAAGGAAGTCAGTCCTGAATATTCACTTGAAGGACGGATGCTGTAGCTGAAACTCCAATACTTTGGCCACATGATGCGAAGAACTGACTCGTTGGAAAAGACCCTGATGCTGGGAAAGATTGAAGGCGGGAGGAGAAGGGGATGACAGAGGATGAGATCGCTGGATGGTATCACTGACTCAATGGAAATGAGTTTGAGCAGGCTCCGGGAGTTGGTGATGGACCAGGAGGCCTGGTGTGCTGCAGTCCGTGGGGTCGCAAAGAGTCGGACATGACTGAGCGACTGAACTGAACTGAACATATAATATTGTACATCAACTATACTTCAATTAAAAAAAAAAAGAAAAGTGTCTTGGCTTCTCTTAACTCTTTGCACTTCAGTATAAATGTTAGTGTCAGTATTTTAATTTACAGAAAAAGTGTTGAAATGTTCATTGGCATTGCATGAAATCTACAGATAATTTTAGAGAGAACAGTCATTTTTATGATGTCAGGTCTTCTAATCCATGAACACAGGATGTCACTCCATCTACTTCAGTCTTTAATTTCTCACAATAATTTTTCCATTGGTTCCTAAACAATCTCATCTACGAGTTTTATTTTATGGACTCTTGGATTTTTTTAATTGCTGTAAAATATACACAACAAAATGTACCATCTTAACCATTTTTAAGTGTACTGTTCAGTAGTGTTAAGTATATTCATATTATTATGCAACCAATCTCCAAAAATCTTTCTATATTGCAAAACTGAAACTTTATATCAAATGACTCCCCCTACTCACTACCCCAACCCCTGGAATCTACCATTCTACTTTCTGCCTCTGTGAATTTGACTACTATATTGACTACACCCATATAAGTGAAATCACACAATATTTGTCTTTGTGTGACTAGCTTATTTCACTTAGCATTATATCCTCAAGATTCATCCAGATTGTATCATGTGCCAGAATTTCCTCCATTTTTAAGACTGAGTAACATTCCATTGTGTGTTTATGCCACATTTTGCTTATGTATTCATCTGTTGGTGGACACTTGTTCGGCTTCCATCTTCTGTGAATAATGCTGCTGTAAACATGGATGTACAAATATCTTTTTAAGACTCTGTTTTCAATCCTTTGGGGTATAAACTCTCAAGTGGAATAGCTGTATGATATAGTAGCTCTATTTTTAAAATTTTTTGGAACTGTAGTATGTTATTTTAATTCTTATAATTATTTTTAAGTAATGGGGAAAAGTTATAAATATTACAGAGTATATCTTGAAATAATTTCATGGTACAATATATTAATCCCAAAGTATTTTATATAGATCCCTGCTCTATATCAAAATTGATGAATTTTTAAAAATTTCCCGGAATTTTGAGTAAATTTAACATGGTAAGGTCAAAGGTGATCTCTAGTCAGAATAGGGTGGGAAACACTGGATTAGCTGAAACACTAAATTTGGAGCAAGAACAGATAATCAGTGCAGTAAGTGAGGAAGAGCAGCTAATCAGAACATATTCATTGTGTGTGTATTCATGTGTGTGTTTTTGGTGGATGATGCAGAAAAGGAATGAGACATAGTCCTCAAAGAGCTTAGGATCAAGTGGACTGGGGCTGGTGGAGGAGCCATGTATTGCATCAAATAAGGAAAGGAAATTTATACTCACAACACAATCAGGGCTAAACACGTGCTACAGTCAAGTTATTCAGAGACATGAGAAGAAAACATGAGAAGAAAACATCATCATAGCGTAGGGGGATTGGGAGAAACTGTGTGGAAAAACAAGCTGTGTCCAAGATTTGAAAGTAGAAGATGAGACCCTTAAATGTTCAAAGAATAGCCGAACAGTAGCCCAGCGATACAAGAGAGGAGAGACCTCTGATTCTTCAGATTCCACGTGCAGCCTTCTACACAGCTTCGAACTTCTGTACATCAATGAAAGAACTCTAGTTTGTCCTGTAACAGAATATGCTTTCCCATCTTAAAAGTAAAGTTCTTACCTTTCTCTCGAAATGTGGAGGTGCATAGTTTTAACAGGCACTGGGTCCACCACTGGTTATAACCAGTCCTCAAATTCGGGCAGAGTCCCAATGAATATCCTGTTACCATAAGAATAAATTGTAAAATTTCAATTACCTGTATGTAAAATAAAACTAGCAAGGAGATAGGAGAACAATATATGTATTCAGTAAACACACATATATGTAATGAGAATATGTATGAAGCCATCTACTGGGGCTTCCCAGGTGGTGCAGGGGTAAAGAATCTACCTGCCAATGCAGGAGAAACAAGAGACGTGAGTTTGATCCCTGGGTAGGGAAGATCCCCCAGAGTAGGAAATGGCAACCCACTCCAGTATTCTTGCCTGGAAAATCCCATGGACAGAGGAGCCTGGTGGGCTATTGTCCATGGGGGTCACAGAGTGTGAGTGACACACACACACACACACACACACACACGCTACCGCCATTGTTTCTGTGCTTTGTCATGAGGCTGTCAATGGTACCCATCTCTTTGTTCATCCATTGCCCAGTCCACATCACATTTTCCCCATCCTCCGCCAGAAATTCAGCTGGTTGAGGTTCATTACTTACTAGAGGGATCTAAACCTTTACTCCCAAGAGGGCTTGAGTCTTCAGTCCTGCCTTTCCTGGTTTCTGTAGTTTTCCAGTAACTTTCACTCTTAGGCATGGAAGTACTAAGAAGCAGTTTCAGATAACTCTCTGGTTTCAGACACAGTCCTCCTCGCCTGTGTTGTGTAGTAGGAGCCCACGCTCATGCACCTCATCTACAGTAACTTCCTCTCCCCCCCTTTTTTTTGGCCAGTTGGTCAAAGAATTGATGCTTTCAAACTGTGGTGCTGGAGAAGACTCTTGAGAGTCTGTTGGACAGCAAGGAGATCAGACCCGTCAATCTTAAAGGAAATCAACCCTGAATGCTCACTGGAAGGACTGATGCTGAAGTTGCAGCTCCAAAACTTTGGCTGCCTGATGCAGAGTCAAGTCATTGGAAAAGACCCTGATCCTGGGAAAGATCAAAGGCAGAAGAAGAGGATGACAGAGGATGAGATGGTTGGATGGCATCACCGATTCAATGGACATGAACTTGGGCAAACTCTGGGAGACAGTGAGGGACATGGAAGCCTGGCATGCTACAGTCCACGGGGTTGCAAACAGTCAGACATGACTTGGTGACTGAACAACAACAACAAATAAGAGGTCCAGGCTGCCCAGGAAGCAGTCTCACTTTCCAATTTAACCATTCTCCACTTTCAGCTGAACCACTGTATCTGTGGGTGGAAACATCCCTCCCCTGGGACTAATGACTTCCAAACCAGCATTGCTCAAAGCTTCTGGGGAAGGAAGACCATTTCTGCAAATGGGTTATTGAGTTTAAGAGTGAAAGGAGCCTCTCCCACTTCCACCCTTTGATGCTCACATCCATGTGTTCCGGCTATGGCAGAAAGAACAGCACAGAAGTGTCACTGATTCAAAGCGTGAAGCCTTCCTTGTAAGACAGAATCCCATTGTTCTGGAGTGTTGTCTCCCAACTGGCACCATAACTGAATCTCCATTCCAACTTTCAATCAGGCCAACCGCTCCAGGTGATGGGGTGTGGTAAGACTATTTGATTCAATGGGAATAAGCCAATTATTCTATTTCCTTTGCTGTGAAATGAGCTCTTTGATGAGAAATGAAAGTGCACAGAATATCAAGGTAGATAAAGCATTCTATAGTATACAGATGGGGGGTGGGGCTTAAGTGCTATGTTCAGTTCTCTGAAGGCAAATTCATATTCAGAGTCATGCATATTTCTTGGCAATGAATCTGCCTCCTCTATGAATCAGGGCAACCACGGCCCCCAGGTGGCTGGTTGGTCCCCCACGGGGAGCGATGCCACCTGAGACGCTTAGCGCTGACAGTGTTGTTGTCCCGCTGTCGACACATTAAACACTCAGCAATATAATGCTTCCAGGTCAGTCTTGAGTAGGTAAGGTCCGTATTTTTGAGCCCACACTAGCTTTGGAGCATGCACTGAGATGACTGGAGTAAGCAACCGATTTACATATACAGATGTCATTTTTTCCACTTGATTATTCGGAGCCTCCTCTATGGTGCAGTCATGACTCACTGGATAGAGAGATGCGATACCATGGCAGTGAATCTTGCTGGAAGGCTTCCCTCTATAGAGTGCCACGGAGTCCCTCACTGGAGGCAATGTGTTAGGACATTGCCCTGTGCCCCGGGTCGTGCAGGAGGGCTATGCTACTGGGAGAGCCACAGGCTGAGCCAGCATCCCAGGACCAGGCCGGGAAGCCCTTCCTCCAGCGCCCCCTACTGCCAAATTGTAGCATCATATTTGCAGATAAAGGGAAAATAGAAGGCCCATGTCAGGTTTACTGAGCAGGCAAACAGGGTGATTTCAATAAAACTGCTGTGTGGCAAAGGTATTGAATCGGGTTGAATAGTGTCCTCCCAAAATCGTGTCCTTCCATCTGGAAGCTCAGAATGTGACTTTATCTAGAAATGCACAATTTTTGCAGATGTAATTAGTCATGTAGGTGGGCCCTACATCCCAAGAAAACTTTGAAAGGAGATGAGACAAGAAGTTACACTTAGACACAGAAAGAAGAAGGCCATATGATTACAGGCAGAGATCAGAGTGCTGTAGAGATCCAGCAACCATCAGAAAGTAGGAGAGGCAAAGAAGGATTCTTCTCTAGAGCCTTCATAGACTGTGACCCTGCCAACACCTTGATTTCAGACTCTAGTCTCCAGAACTATGAGATAACGAACTCTTGCTGTTCATAGGTACCAAGTTTATAATAATCTACTATGGCAAACCTAAGAAAGTAACACAGCACCAAAGGTCCAGTTTCAGTTTGTGGAGAACCAACTCATAAATGAAGACCTGGAGCCCATGCCTAGGGAGAGTGGCGAGAAGCAAGACTCCACGTCACGGAAGTAGTGTGCTAAATCCTCAAGGTCACAGCAGGCTCTGAAGCTCTAGCCATTTACCTCCCTGTCACAGGACTCTGCAGTCTTCCCAGATATGATTTTCAGTCCTGTATGAAATGTATTGTCTTCATTTCTTCACCTTAAACTGTCATAAAGTCATTATGCTTTTATTCCAATGTATGTACCTGCAGCAACTCTCTGACCTACTGCGCTCTCCTCCTTGTGGATTACCTGTCTTCTCCGGTAACTATGCCTTTAAATCTCTCTGAACCGTCTTTGCTGAATTTCAGGTTTAGCATGTTAGCTGTGCCCTTCATCTCCTTTAGATCTTACCACCCTGGACTCCCACAACCAGTATACATCATATTGCATATCATTTCCAGTCCACTCCCATAATCTCATTGCTAGCAGGAAACTGACCCATTTATCAGTTTGATTCTCATCTTTTTCATTCATGTATTAATGGAGCGTGAATTAAGTAGAGATCAGTGTCCCAGCTACCATAAAGGGACAGGGGACACAGGGAGCATGAGGATGAATGGGACCCACACCCTGCCTGACGTGTCTAGGAGTGAAATCGACAAACCTTGGAAGATTCCCGCTTTCTCCTGGGGGGATGGGTGAACGGTGGTGACAGTCCAGGGAATAAGGAAGGAAAAAAGGCGAGTGTGAGAGGGCTCACTCATGTTTAGTTTAACATGCCTATGAAACAAACAAGCAGTGATGTTTGATAAGCACTCAGCTCTGTGAGGAGGAGGCTCAAGATATAAATTGGAACTGATTAGCTTAGAGATGGCAGTTGAAATCTTATGGGTAGAAATAGATGAACTGGCCCACAGAGTCTACAACATGAAAAGTGCAGGAACCAAAGGCAGAACAATGGGGAACACTCTTAAGACGTGTGATTGCAGAGCAAGAGGAACCACTGTAAGGAGTGTTCAGCAGAAGGAAGAGAACCCGAAGACAGAGGAGCAGTGAAAATGAAGGGAAGAGAGTTCAAAGTGGAAGAAGTGCCATAGTTAATAATGCGAAATGCTGAGACGATGAGAACTAAAGCAAGTAAATTAGATTTGGCAACAGGGAAGACAAATGAGCAAGTGAGGGTGGAAGCCTCCATACAGAAGGCTTAAAGGGGAATGGAGGTGCAATTAGATTTATTCTCTATAACTGATGTCATAATATACATCATATATATAATATACATAATATTCAAATTGGTCTACAAGACCTAGAACGGACAAGGGCGATCCCTTCCCCAGCCCCTGCTCCCCATGAATGCATCCCCCTTCATCTCTTACAGCTCCTTCTATGGGATTTACTTATACTTTAAAAATAACCTATTAGTACAGATATTTCCTTTCTATATTTCACATTAAGTATTATTGATTAGGGGCTTCCGGGATGGCCCAGCAGATAAAGAATCCACCTGCAATGCAGGAGATGCTGGTTCTGGGTCGGGGAAGATCCCTGGAGAAAGAAATAGCAATTCATTCCAGTATTCTTGCCTGAAAAATCTCAAGGACAGAGGAACCTGAAGGCCTATAGGCCAAAGGGTTGCAAAGAGTTGGACATGACTGATTAAGCACACAGGCACATTATTAAGTTCACATTATGGAAGATAAGGACTTAGCTCTCAGCCTTCTATCTGCCTATCACTAATTCTTCTTTGACATTCAGCCAGAGGATAAATTTCAACAGTGGAACATATCAAAACATACACACTCGGTATCCATTGCACCCTCTCCCTCTTTGAAGGCACATTCCTTGAGCTCTCCGTCCCTCAGTTTCTTAACTCTAGACTGCCACTTAGGATCTCCTGTCATCCCCTCTTGGGAATTTCCTTAATTTCACCTATGTTGAATCCCCTACCCATATTTTCTTACTTGGTTTACTCTCTTTTTGCTAGACTTCCAATAGTCTCCTGAAAAAGGAGGCATGGGAGGTAAACTTTTTTTTTATATATTTGGCATGCCTGAAAATGTCCTTTTTCTCACTTTGAATAATGATTCAGCAAAGTGTTTATTTATTTCAATTTATTATCATTATTATTATTATTTTAGCCATGTCACTCAGCAAAGTCAAGGAACTTTAGTTCCTTCTCAAGGGCCATCAATATTCTGAGCCATCCCTTGTGAGATGTTTTATAGACACTGAAAGCCCTACCAGGTGGAAGACGTTAAGTAAGTGATGACCAGGCTGTCGCCATGACATAAGGTGCCACAGTTCTGAGAATTTGCCTCAAGGAAATGGAAACAAACTAACCCTGGAAGAACCATACCTAAAACCATCAAGATGATGCTGGTCAGACACCAGTGACCAATTTCAAATCACTGAGCTGACTGTGCTGTTTCTGCATGTAGCCCCCTCGCTCTGTCTATAAAAGCTCTTACTCCCTGCTTCTCAGGTGGGGAGCTGGCTTTTGGATAGATGTCCACCCTCCCCCTCAGTTGCCAGCATCTGAAATAAAGCAAATTTTCCTTTCCACTAAGCTGACCTTTTTATTGGCTTTTGGGCAGCAAGCAGCCAGATCCCACCTTTCGGTAACATATCCACCACTCTCTGGAAATCGTGGTTCCACTGTAAGCAAATTGTTTTTTATTTCTACAGCTAAATTTCTTGATCTAACTCTTATAGAAATATAGCAGCTTGTCTCTAACACACCTGGTTAAGGAAAAAAGCAGGTATGTTCACAGTTGGAAACAGAGCCACACCACTAAAATCTCCTAACCAGGTAGAAAGCAAATATTCTGGGATGAAGGACTGTTGTGATGAAGGTAAATAGGAGGTTGAGGAGTGACTGTCTCTAAATGTTACTATAAAGGGATTGTTCTCTTTCTTCACCGTGTTTATCAGTAGCTTATGAAATTTATAGGGGGTTTAATACATTTACACAGGAGAATCATTCAGATATAGAGTACATTTGATGTTTATTTTCACATAATGTCCAATGTCCATAATGTCACATTTTCACAAAATGTCCAACTTTGTGCTATATGATTGTATGGTATTGATTAAAGCATCTCATTCAGCCTCACATTCAGTCTACCGAAAATAGCCCTCAAATGCCCACATAAGCACTGTCAAACCTACTCATACTGTTTTCTTAAAAAAAAAAAGGAAAAACTTCTCCAATGATATAGTATGCACCTTTGTCAAGCTATCATTCAACAAACACCAGCCTCCCAAATGTTTCCCAAATCTGCCTCCATCCTCTCCCCCTCTGCATTCGTTCATTCCTTCATCAGTTACAGCCTGGATCCCTGCAATAGCTTCAGAGCTGCTCACAGTATCTTGAGTTTGGTCTCCCCGCAAACCATCCTTCACATTGCCATCAGAGAGTTCTACCTGAAATGCAGATATGTGTGAGTCACCCACTCAAGACCCTGCTGAAAATTTTACCTGGCCTGCCAAGTCTTTAAAAACTAGAGCTCTTCTGACTTCTTCATCCGCATCCTCAGTCGTCACTCACACCTTAACATCCTTTAATCCAACAAATTCTGCCTAGGGGACTTCCGTGGTGGTCCAGAGGCTAAGAGTCCATGCTCCCAATGCAGGAGACCCGGGTTCAATCCCTTCTCCTTAATTAGTCTATCAGTTCCTAAAGAGAAAGAATCTATATCTTTAAAAAAAAAAAAAGAATGTACATAAGTGTATAATTGAGTCATTTTGGTATAACATTTTAAAGCAACTGTACCTCAGTAAAAAAATAAAAAGAGTCTGTATCTTACATTTGAAGTCCCAGTGTTCACCATGCATCTGGTATATAGTTAGATGCTTGCTCGACTGGGACATTGTTTCTGTTTATTTCTTTCCACTCTACCCCCAAATGTTAAAAAAACAAAAGGCAAACAACAACAAAAAACTCTATCAAGTAAACTATTATCAGCAATCTTTTACATTTGCTCCTTTTTAAAAAAAAACTTTAGCTTCTTGGATCCAACTATTTGGTAGAATCCTAGCTGATGAACTCACAGCTGACTTCCTGCCAAATCATATGGTTTTTCACAGTTTCTTATTCTCCTTGCAGCTTTTGACTGCTGTTCACTTTCTCCTTAAACCACCTTCTAAGACTTCACACCATTGCCAAGCACTGCCTTGAGGAATTAATTCAGAGTCCCCATTGCCTTGAGTTATTTAACCTATGCTCCACCACAATAAAGACATCCCCTTGTACACTTTTGGGTTGTCTTTCTATTTATGTTAGCAGTTATCTCAGCAAAAATCTTATCCCCTGAAATAACCCTGGAGAAACAGGAATTTCTTCCAAAACACAATTCTTCAAGTTTAATACCACAGTAGGTTAGTTAAAACATAAGTTTCACAAATTCCTTGGCAGTCCAGTGGCTAGGACTCTGTGCTCTCACTGCCGAGGGCCTAGGTTCGATCCTTAGTCAGGGAACTAAGATCCTGCAAGCCCCATGGAGCAGCAAAGAAAAAAAAAAAAGTAAATTTCTCCCTAAGCCCCCTAGATTTGGTATAGACTGAGTAAACCAGCTTTCTGTCTCATCAGTTCAGACTCCAGTACTAATATATCTTTCTATTTTCTTTTTATTGGCAGCACCAATGGCACCTGTGGATTTTAGTTCCCTGACTAGGGATTGAACCCAGGCCCTCGGCAGTGAAAGCCCAGCGTCCCAGCCACAGGACTGCTAGAGAACTCTCAGGTTTGTTTATTGTAATTGCTGTATTCCTCATGCCAAAAGGGCTTTTCCCCTTGTTTTTGTCATTTATTTTCAAACATTGCTGTCCTCTCTCTAATTCCCCACTTCCTCCTACAAGTATATTTCCAAGAGTCCCTACAGCCAAGTAGGTGGAAGAGTGAGCCAATATGTGGGACTATTGCCTTGTAGCTCATTTAGCCTGAAATTTATTTTTAAATTTACTCAAGATAATCTGAGGAAATATATGCACATATATTGATGCCAAAATATGTATGTGCCTGCATGTGATCTCACCTTTTCAAAGGCCATTGAGTTCTCTTGTCAAAGTGCTACCCCATGAGGCGGGGAATACGACTTTATTGGGAGAGCCAGCGGACCAAGAAGATGGCAACGAATGTCTCAAAACAACCATCTTGTTGATGTCTGGATGCCAGGTTCTTTTATAGATCAGAGATTGGGGGAGGTGAGGAAACAAAGGTACTGAAAAGGTCATTAGCCTTGCAAATATTTCCCAGAAGGGCAAGTGTCAGGCAGGGGATGTGTGAATTTCTTCTTTCCTACCTGAAACTATGAAATGGGAATAACTCTACTGGGTTATTGAAAGGCAAAGGAAATGATGTAAGTAAAAGTACTCTAAGAAGTAATAATGCTGGTTTCTTTGAACGGGAGCCCCGAGCAGCTGGGTTCCCACCAGTTGGGCGTTTTGCTCTTCCGTCTCTGGATGCGGGAGGCTGCGGCCTTGGCTCGTCTCCATGGCAACTACTCCGCATTTCCAAGCCCCGCCCCCTGTCCACCCCGGGGACCGGAAGCAACCAGTCGGGCGCTTCCCCGGCTTCTCCCCCAAAACGCGGGGCAGTCTTTCCCAGGCCGGAGGTTAGAGTTGAGGTCTCTCCGCGCTTCGAGGGCTCGGGGAGAAGCGACGATCACCCAGGGGGCGGGGAAAGGTCGCCCGCTGACCTTGGCACCACCTCCAGGCAGTCCCCCCACCCTTCCCTCCCGTTCTAACCGATCACCCCCTCTTCATACCCTTCACAGCCCAGTATCCCCGGCTACCCCTTCTTTACGCCGCCCTCGCTTCCCCGGGGCCCCCAACGCGTCCCCGCACCTCCGGGCCTCTCACCGCGCGTCCGCGCCCCCCCTTCTCTTGTCCTTACCCAGCACCCCGGGGCGCCCGACCCCCGACCCCAAAGCTAGACCTCCTCGCATTCCCCCCGCGCGCTTACCCGCCCTCCTGCGCACCACCCCCCCGCCAACCCCTCTCTTGTGACCTCACCGAGTCTGTCCCCCTCCCTGACAGGGGAGGAAGGTGTCCGGGGACCGTCGGGAGACGGTCCATTAGAGGAGATATTTCCAAGAGAGAGTCGGTCCCTTCAGAAAAGACCCCCCGGATCTGGGGCTCCAGGCTCAGCCTGCCCTCCAGGGACCGGGTTCATTAGGGACCCTCTCGCGGTGATGAGGGTTTGGTCTTCTTGGTGGAACTGAGAGCAACTGTGGATCTGGCCCAGATTCGGCTCCTAGTGCGGGGAGACGCGGGGTGCGTCCCAGTGGCCACGCTTTCGACTTCCAGAGGATGCTTTAAGCTTAGGGCCTTCCCCTAGACGGCTCCTGATACGTGGCCTCTAACCCCTCCTGTGGCTCAGGTCTCTACCCGATTCTGTTCCGGCCTAGTACCATCTGTGTCTGCTGCTCCTCTTCCCTGGGACCCCGGGCACGGCCTCTGGACCGCGCAGCACCGCACGAAGTGTGGATGGCCTGAACCCAGACCCCAGCCCTGCTCCTTCGCTTTGGTCTGTTACCTGCTGGAGCTTGCCCTGGCAGGTTCCTCACCTACCACGTGGAGATGAAAAGAACCTTAAAGGGCTTTTGTGGGGATCTAAATACTGTTCTTGTTGTTTAGTTGCTAAGTGGTTTCCGACTCTTTAGTGATCCCAAGAATTGTAGCCCACCAGGCTCCTCTGTCCATGGGATTTTCCCAGCCAGAATACTGGAATGGGTTGCCATTTCCTTCTCCAGGGGATCTTCCCAACCCAGGGATGGAACCCAGGTCTCCTGCATTGGTAGGGGGATTCTTTACCACCAAGTCACTGGGAATTTAAATGAGTTGGTATTTGTTAAGATTTATTAGAAGAGTGCTTGGCACCTAGTAAATTCTCTGTCATTGTTACCCTTTATGGTGGGGCATCTCACTGGGTAAGCTTGTATCATTTATTTGGTAACTTCCTTGTCTCTCTCCTGCTAGAGTATAAGCTTTATCTAGCCACACCACCGGCTTTGTTCAGGTGACTGCCATATCTTGAGTGCCTAGAAGAGTTTTTGGTGAAGTGGGGGAAAAAATGGGAAAGAGAAAAAAATAGGGACACATATAACATTTCTAATTAGTCATCAGTTACTAGTGATACATATACTAAAATGCTACTGAGCAAAGTGTCTCCCCACCCGCTTCCTGCTAACAAGCTAGTGATACTTGGAGCAACTGTTGCTCCCCATACATCAGTATGTTGCCAGTGACATTGTGATCTGATGCAGTGTTTTCTATAATTTATTTGATAATAAATTGCAAGATATTTTGCTGCTCTTCTTTTGACCCCAGTAAGTCAAATCCTTGGGACAACTTTAAAGGAAATAATTTGAAAATTAGCATGTTTTTTTGGAAAATAGTCTATTTTTCTGAAAATGTGCTTCCCAGCATTGTTTATAATAGTAAAAATTAGAAATAATCTATAATACAGAGATTAAGTAAATTAGATATTACAGATGAGCAGTAGACGTGAACATGAAAATATATTAAGATGGAGGAATATGCTTTTTTCCTCTGAATGATTCCTTTAATGCCAAAGTAATATTATTTTAAAAGTTAGTAACATCGAAAAAAAAAATCCATGCAAAAGCAATCTCATGTGTCTATTCCTTAGTGCTCCTTGCAGCAGGCTAAAAATAATTAATTGGCCCTTTGAGCCTGTCCCAGAGTCATAAATTTCCTCAGGCTTCCCTTATTTCTCTTCTCCAGGGTTCCTCTGCAACCCTGACTGATCTCTGATTGTAATGTGTAGTCAGCCTCCTGGGCATGATTTTCAGAATAAATTACAAAGTATTCATGAAAGTGAATGCCTATGAGCCCTTTGATTCTCTTAAAGAAGGAAGTATTCTTTGAAAGTTGGCTTCTGTTAAGATTAAGGATACTTTTGGTACAATCTTAACATTTCTCATAGCTGTGATGTTCTGAAAAGCATTTGTCTTGTTTCCACTTGTCTCTTGAATCATATTTATGGAATGTCCTTAAGGAGAATTTCACCTCCTCGAAGATTCAAGCCTAGTGGTCCCAAGCTATTCCTGGTGCAGATGTCTGCAAAATTGAGAGTCATCACAACTCCTTCCACAGACTTCAGGGGACCCTGACTGCCTTGTGTTAATGAAGGCAGACCTGTAATATAGCCTCCGCCGCCACTGGAGCAGCTTCTCTGAGCTCAGAGGCCTTCTGCCAGCAGTTCAGGCAGTTTGGCTACTCTGACACCGCGGGGCCCCGGGAAGCCCTGGGCCGGCTCCACGAGCCTCGCTGTCAGTGGCTGAGGCCCGAGGTGCTCAGCAAGGAGCAGATCCTGGAACTGCTGGTGCTGGAGCAGTTCCTGGCCATCCTGCCCGAGGAGCTGCAGGCCTTGTTCCGAGAGAACCGACCAGCGAGCAGAGAGGATGCCGTAGAGATGCTCGAGGAGCTGGAGAAGGAGCACGATGGGGAGGCTGAACAGGTGAGAAGGCGGTGGTGGGAGAGAGGGGCGAGGCGCAGTCAGGAGCCCTGGCGCATCATTGAGGGTCGCGCTCCCAAACTGTGTTCCACTCGGCACAACCCGGTGTATAGTGTGGAGAATGGACCCCCGGCTCTGCCCGAAATCAGGGTGTGCCTCTATTTTTTTTCCTTCCCCTTTCTGGTGTCCCAAGATAGTTTCTTCTGTTATTTTATCCTCAAGTCCCAACCCAATTCCCTTCTTCAGCCTCAGTAATACCAAACTGTTTATAGGTCTTTCTTGGACAAAATGGGGACATGCTCGCAAAGAAACTACCAACTTGTGAAATCCCTCAGAAGATACCATGTCACCAGCCCAAGCTCGCAGAAAAGCAGCTGTGGTGGGCGCTGAAGAAGCTCTGCTCCTTCAGATGAAATGGCTAAGGAGGTAGTGGCCCCATCATGTGATTGATTTATCACTCTAACTTCTGTTTATTGATACTTGTACTAAATCTTGCTTATTGCTACCCACTACCATATTGAATTCTTCTCCTTTAGTTGCTCCTCTGTTCTCCAATAATTTCTTGTCTTTTAGGCCTCTCTTTTCTTACAAACTTTCCTCAGTCTCTAAAGTATCTTTTTACCCCTACTCACCATTCTATCTTTTGCACAGAGCTTTTCATCTTATCATTGACTGCCTCATCAGTATGTAAACCTCTTTTGCCTTATGATGTTCTCAGTGTTTTCTGCCTCACCTTCTCCATCCTCTAAAATCTCAGGTGGCTCCCCAGTAAAGAATCCGCCTGCCAATGCAGGAGATCTAAGAGACTGGGGTTCCATCCCTAGGCCGGGAAGATCCCCTGGAGAAGGAAATGGCTACTCACTCCAGTAGCCTTGCCTGGGAAATCCCATGGAGAGAGGAGCCTGGTGGGCTGCAGTCCTTGGGGTCACAAAGAGTCAGATATGACTGAGCACGCATGCATGGCGCCATGCTCTACATTGATGTTATATTGCAAACATGCTAGCTCAAAAATAATCTATGCTCCATTCAGATCATTCTATTTCCTTTTCCTTCCCTCTGAACAAAGAGATGATTACATTTTCTTGTCTGTGTACTATTTCAGATAGAGACACAAGAACTAAAAATGTGAAATCTGCTTTAAGGCAAAAGAATTCTTCAGACAAAGAACTGCATTACAAAGTTTCTAACACTCTTCAAGTGAATGCTCCCCAGAGTTTCACATTTAGAAGAACCTGTGAACAAGACAGAAAGTTTGAAAGGAGACAGGGAAACTGTCCTTGAAGAAAACAACACAGTGTGATGAATGTGGTAAAGTCTTTAGTCAGAGTTTAGCCCTTAATCTACATCAGAGAATCTACAGTGGAGAGAAACGTTATACAAGTGAAGTGTGTGCAGAGTCTTTCAGCTGAAGTACAGTCCTGATTCAGCATCGAAGAATCCATACTGGGGAAAAACCCTTCAAATGTTATGAATGTGGGAAAGCCTTTAGTCAGAGCTCAGTCCTTAATCTACATAGAGAACTTACAGTGGAGAGAAACATTATACATGTGAAGTGTGTGCAGAGTCTTTCAGCCAAAGTATAGTCCTGATTCAGCATCAAAGAATCCATACTGGGAGAAACCCTTCAAATGTCATGAATGTGGGAATCCTTTAGTCAGAGCTCGAATCTTTTCAGACATAGGAAGAAACACGCTGGAGAAAAAGTCCCATCTGTGTTGTGAGGGAATCGAGGCATTTATTGAGAAATTTTTCTCTGAGGGAGAAGGCACATGGCACCTATACTCCTTTAATATAAATTGGTAGTTTTGGTGGGCATCAGTTTCCTTTCAAAGGTTATTAAAGCCGCAGGAGAGAATGTGGAATATTTTCTGCCAGCAATGTTTACTTCTCTGCTTTTCAGTACAGGGTCAATTCAGATGTTTGAGATTCTAAAGCTATAGAGTTCCATCCCTCAGTTCAGTTCATTCACTTAGTCATGTCCGACTTTTTGACTCCATGGACTACAGCATGCCATCACCTGTCCATCACCAACTCCTGGAGCTTGCTCAAATTCATGTCTATCAAGCAGGTGATGCCATACAACAATCTCATCCTCTGTACTCCCTTTCTCCTCCATCCCTAGTGCAGCTCTTGCAAAGATACTCTCAGACACATTCAACTGTCTACATTATTAACACAAACAATAAACTAGTATGTTCCTTTTTAGACAAGTACATTTTCCCTGTTGAGAAGGAATGTGTGAGTTGACATATAAATGGATGTTCTCCATTTCATTACTTGAACATTGGAGTTGTTAGACCAAACATTAAATTAGTTTTTGAAAAAATTTTCCTGGGAATTTCCTGGCAGTCAGTGGCTAGGATTCATGTTTTCAGTGCCATGGATCTGGGTTCAATCCCTGATCAGGGAATTAAGATCCCACAAGCCACACTGTGGGGCCAAAATATAAAATAAATGTCCTATTTTATTTTCTGTTTTTGAATTGCTCAGACAGTCATGTCTGACTCTGCAACCCCATGGGCTATAGCCCGCCAGGCTCAAGGAGACCAAAAAGAATATGTACCTCAAGACCTGTGCTGAAACGTCCAGGGTCATTGTTAGGAAGCAGGTGAGTGAAGGGACTTGAATCATCATCGCTTAAGAAAATTCACAAGAACTTACATACTGTTTTGTTTGCATTTTTAAAATTGAGGTATAGTTGATGTATAAAGAGCCTACATACTGTTTATGATACTAAGGGGTGCTAATATGCTAACTTTTTAATCAATTTTATCAATCTTTTATCAAGTTTAGCCCAAGTCATATTAATTCTCTGGTTAGATAAACTAGCACCTCCTACTTATTAGGAGACCTATATAAATGCAAGATAGTTCAGTATCCAGTGACACCCTTTAAGGATTTGTTATTCTAAGATAATTCACATCACTGTGGGATGGAGAAGTTCTGATGAAGAGAATGTAATCTTGCAAAGCCTATGGCCCAACCAAGTGAAGAAGGACACTTCCCTCAGAATACATGATTAGAAAAAAATAATTATGTAGAATTAACTATTTTTCTTGTGTAGAAAAAAATAATTATCTCCTTTAGAATTTATGTTGGAAATATCTCAGTGAAAGTATTAAGATAGCGCTATATGTCTTCAGGGAGTGGCATAACCATAATGAGTGTTCTAATAATGAACAGTTTTCTGTATGTGCTTATATAAAGTTGATGATCACCTTAACAGAAAAAAGAAAGACGAAGAAAAGATGGTCCAAACAAGGCTGATGTACACACCTGGAAATGGGAACCATTAACAGCTGATGGCTCTCCTGCAGAGTTCTTCATGACCTCTGTTCTGCCCTGAATCAGCTGTGAACGTGTTTCAGGCATCATAGGACAACCTTTTCTGGGTCTTTCTCATCATTCTTAGTAAGATGAGTTCCTAGACAATTTATCATGTTGCAAGACCTTGGATTTTGATGATCTTGTACAAATGAGGAAATCACTAAAGTTTAATTTAAAGAGTCCATTGAGATATACCACATTTAATTCAATCGGAGTCTCTTGTTTAAATGACAGATACGTTTTTTAAATTATTATTCTGACAGTATATAACACAATGTCCCCCTTTCCAGGGATTCTTGATAGAATTCTCTATATGTTACAAGAATACATGGACTGGGACTTCCCTGATGGTCCAGTGGTTAAGAATCCACCTTCCAATGCAGAGGATGTGGGTTTAATCCCTGGTTGAGCAGCTACCAGGACCCCACGTGCCACATGCTGCCAGGGCAACAGCCCACGTGCCACAACTAGGACCCAACACAACCAAATGTTAACAAATAGATTTTTTTAAAAAGCCTCAATGAGATACCACCTCATATCCATCATGATGGCTGATCAAAAATACAAAAAAATAACAAGTGTTGGCAAAGATGTAGAGAAATTGGAACCCTGGTGCATTGCTGATGGGAATGTAAACTGGTAGGGCCACTGTGGAAAATAGCTTAATGTTTCCTCAAAAAGCTAAACACAGAATTACCATATGATCTGGCAATTCCACTCCTAATATAGACCCAAAAGAGTTGAAAGCATGGATTCAAACAGACACTTGTACACCTATGTTCATAGCAGCATCATTCACAATAGCCAAAGGGGGAAGCAACCCAAGTGTTCGTCAGTAAATCAACAGATAAGCAAAAGCATGCTATATGCATACAATGGAATATTATTTAGCCTTAAAAAGCAATGAAATTCTGACACAGGTATCCCCCACTTTTCAAAAGTTCACTTTACACTACTTCACTTTTACAAAAGACCTACATCAGTACAGGTTTCTCCCGCTATCTGAAAGAAGAGTGCTCCTCTGAAAACTTCCAGAGGCTGAAATGGTGTAAAGCAAAGAAGTGGTTACCTAGACACAGTTCAAAGTTACAGTGGCTTGATGCTGAGGGTAGTTCTCCGGGAAGGAGCTTCCCAGTGCCACTCACGCTGCTTGGGCTGCTTGAGGCAAAGCAAACACTGAAAGCTATCATTGCCTTTTTCCTTGAAAGTAAAAATCCTCCTCAGATTTATTTCAATTAGTAAAAACAAGTACAGGTAGCCTCTGTGTTTTGAAAGTTCACTTTATGTCACTTCACTTTTATGAAAGACCTACATTACTACCTGTTCCCTGGTGGCTGGTAAAGAATTTGCCTGCAATGTGGGAGACTTGGGTTTGATCCCTGGGGTGGAAAGATCTCCTGGAGAAGGGAAAGGCTACCCACTCCAGTATTCTGGCATGGAGAATTCCAGGGACTGTATAGTCCATGGGGTCACAAAGAGTCATGACTGAGTGACTTTTTCTCACATGGAGACAACATGCATCCTGAAGAGCAAGACTGGCACTGCCAAAACCCGTCCCTGGAACCACACTCAGCATCTCAGAATCAAGCTGCCACAGACTTAACTATGTCTGTAAACATCTGTGCTTTATCTTGATTTAGTTCATGTATCCCTGGTGGCTCAGTAGTAGAGAATCTGCCTGCAATGCAGGAGACCCGGGTTCAATCCCTGGATGGGGAAGTTCCCCTGGAGAAGGGAATGGCTACCCACTCCAGTATTTTTTCCTGGAGAATTGCATGGACAGAGGAGCCTGGTGGGCTATAGTCCATGGGGCCAGTCGCTCAATGTGTGACTGAGCACAGTACACCAAATCAGCTTCCAAAAGATTTCACAGAAGCTCCTGGCTTTGGGGTAGTGGAAGAAATTTGTACATGCTGCAACAGTGCTGAACCCTGAAAAAACAGTGAATGAAATAAGCCAGATAAATAAAGATGAATATTGTATGATTTTATTTATATGAGGTATCTAGAAGAGGCAAATTCATAGAATACTGATTACCAGGACTGGGGGAAAGAGGATTGAGGAGTTTTTAATGGGTACAGTTTCTGTTCGGGGTTATGAAAAAGTTCTGGAAATGGATAATTGTCACAATTGTACAGCATTAGGAATGTATTTAATACCACTGAACTACACACTTCAGTTCAGTCACTCAGTCATGTCCGACTCTTTGTGACCCCATGAACCACAGCACACCAGGCCTCCCTGTCCATCACCAACTCCCGGAGTCCACACAAACCCATGTCCATCTAGTCGGTGATGCGATCCAACCATCTCATCCTCTGTCATCCCCTTCTCCTCCTGCCCTCAATCTTTCCCAGCATCAGGGTCTCTTCAAATGAGTCAGCTCTTTGCATCAGGTGCCAAAGTATTGGAGTTTCAGCTCAGTCCTTCCAATGTCATCCATGGGATGACAACGAGTCAGACACAACTGAGTGACTGAAGTGAACTGAAATGATATTGAGGAGGCAGGATCATTACTTGCATGTGTGCTTATTTATGTCCAACTCTTTTGTGATCCCATGAACTTTAGCCCACCAAGCTCCTCTGTCCATGGGATTTTTCTGGCAAGAATACTGGAGTGGGTTGCCATTTCCTCCTCCAGGGGATCTTTCAACCCAGGGATTGAACTCGCATCTCCTGCATTGCAGGCAGATGCTTTACCACTGAGCTACTGGGGAAGTCCAGGCAGAGTCATTACATAGTCTGCTAAGCTCAGACTAGAATTGGAAGTCAATGTAATACAATTCATTCACAAGCATGAATAATCAATGCTGAAATTTCTTTATTTAAAAACCATATTAAAATATAATAGAATACTAGATAAGACCATTACATCATAATCAACTACAGACAACCATATAGTTGGACAAACTATATGAATTATTGGATTTGAGGCTTTCAACCAGAGGCAGAACAGTAATCCCTGAAAAAGGGAAATTTGCAAGGGGAGTCCCGTTATTTCTCTGGTTCTCTGCCTGGGACAAATTTCCAGCTGTGGTACAAAGAGTTAGAATCCAAGAAAATAAAGTGACTCTTGCTAAGCTGAAGAAACTGATATTTAAATATGAGGCTCCTGAAGAAGCTGCAATCTACAAGACCGGTCACTGGAGAGATAGAAGTCCAGCATTCTCTGGAACAGGAGTTCCTCACGTGTTCCTGACTGAGTTCTGGGTGCACAGATACCGTATAAGACTACACATTGTTACCAGAAGTGCTAGAGTATATTGGGATTCTGGCCTAATTCATGTAGAAAAACCTCATTAATACTTTTNACTCCTCAGGTCGGTAGGTGCCCAATATGCTACTGGAGATCAGTGGAGAAATAGCTCCAGAAAGAATGAAGGGAACTATACACTTAAAAATGGTTAAAATGGTAAACTTCATGTTTATTTTACCACAAGAACACTGGAGGAAACAAAAGGGAAAAGACTTTTCTATAATTCTGCCCTAATAATATTTATATTCTATCAAAAAGAAGAAACACTATAGATTGTTGAAAAGCAGATCTGGAAGATAAAATCCAGACAAGTGTTTGCTGAAGGGACTGACAAAGAATCTTCTCTTTGCCACTAACACTTAGGACAGGCCATGATGCAACTGTTCCAGCAGTCCTAGAAGATTTGGTTTTACATTTTTTGGCCACTCTGTGCAGCATGTGGGATCCTAGTTCCCCTGACCAGGGATCGAACCTGTGCCCCAGCATTGAAAGTGCAGAGCCCTAACCACTGGAGCACCAGGGAAGTCCCAGTCCTAGAAGATCTGAACGGATTATATAAGCAATAAATCCTGGATGGCTAGTAAATAATATTGTTTTATAATTTCTATCTTGGATTCAATATGCTTCCTTTTATAAAGCTATATGCTAAATAACTTTAATTACTATTATATGCTAATTATTTGGGTTTCCCAGGTGGCTCAGTGGGTAAAGAAACTGCTGGCAATGCAGGAGATGCAGGAGACACGGGTCCAATCCCTGGGTCAGGAAGATCCCATGGTGGAGGGCATGGCAACCCACTCCAGTATTCTTGCCTGGAGAATCCCACGGATAGAGGAGCCTGGTGGGCTACAGTCCACAGGGTCAAAAAGAGTCAGACACGACTGAAGTGACTGAGCACATGCTAATTATTTATTGATTCCTGACATTTTAACCTCATGGGTGTGTCTTATTATTTGCATCTCTTAATCTTACTCAAGTTTGAATTTAAGGCTAAGATTAACTTGTTCCTCTTAAGATGGAGACTGATTTTATTCAAAGTCTACAATGACACGGGGTGGCAGCTAAAATAAGGAACTCTACTGTCTGAGCCAATGATCAGCTGGATAGCCATCTGCCGTCTTTTCCTATACAGCTCTGCTGGCTCCAGTCTACTGAAGAAGGACTCGTCAGGATTGTAGGTAGAATATCTCCAGTTGGACATATCAGTGAGGCCGCATCAGAACCGAATTAGTCCATTAAATGTTGCTTTTGATTCATTGGCTTTAGCAGTCTTGCAACGTAGGTGGCTTTACAGTTTGATTTCTTGGTAGTCATTCAACCACAAATGATTAATTTAGGCCAATAATAATAATTCCACTCCACCTGCAAGTGATTTTGATTTTGTTGTTGTTGTTCAGTCCCCACGTTGTCCAGCTCTTTTCGACCCAATGGACTGTAGCCCACCAAGCTCCTCTGTCCCTGGGATTTCCCAGGCAAGAATACTGGAGTGGGTTGCCATTTCCTTCTTCAGGGGATCTTCCCAATCCAGGGGTCGAACCTGCATCTCTTGCATTGGCAGGTGAATTCTTTACCACTGAGCTACCAGGGAAGCCTAGTTTTGATTTAGGCACTGGCATATCACTCAATTTAGGCCAGTGAGACATTAGGGAAAGCCTGCTGCCTGGCCTCTGGAAAAGTTTGCTTTCTTCTAAAAAAAGAGACATAAAAAAGAGATGATACGTTTCAGTCTCTAGATGTTCTTGTGACTGGTTATGATAGCAGGCAGTGCTGCAAGAGCTGGAAGGCGCAGCTGACCCAGGTGGAGCGAGGAACTAAGAATACTACAGATAAGCAGGACTAAAGCCCTCAGGTGCCACTTTTCATATTTTTCATTTAAAACCAAAATAAGTGGAATAGAGAGAATGATAAAAGTAAAAAACAGAGGCTCTGGTGCTAGGCAAGATGGAATAAGCATACTCCAACCCTGTCTCTTTCCAAAGAGAGTCCCACAGTTGTCCAGTCGCTCAGTCGTGTCTGACTCTTTGCTACCCCCTGGACTATATAGCACACCAGGCTCCTCTGTCCTCCACTATCTGCCAGAGTTCACTTAAATTCAAGTCCACTGAGTCAGTGACACTAACCATCTCATCCTCTGCCTCCCCTTTATCCTTTTGCCTTCAGTCTTCCCGAGCATCAGTGTCTTTTCTAATGAGTTGACTCTTCCCATCAGGTGGCCACAGTCCGGGAGAATCCTGGACAAAGATCACAGAGGACAAAGCTCCCTGAGGACTCCTCAAAGTGAATAATAGAAAGCAGACTGGGGAAGAAGACTAGAATTTCAGGTTCCATTGTATTTACCCTTTTTTTCTTTTTGGTATCACCTGGCCTAGACTCAAAGGAAGCCTGAAACCCACAAGTGCCCACAGAGAAGCCCAAGAGATGGGAAAGGGGTTTTTAAGGGTCAGAGAGCATAAGGGAAGTTGCT